GCACCAAAGTTGTTTCGGTAGTCGATGAGGCATTTGCATGCAACCTATGTCAACGATGAGCGCATTGCCACTGCAACACCAAAGTCGATGAAGAGACAACCATGCAAGTGGTTCTGGTACATCTGTCCAGAGTGCAGGAAAATGCCCGCACTCCGCACAGAAAGCCTGAAGGAGATGCTCTCCGCCACGCAAAAGCTACCAGCATCCTCGAATAAAGTAGGGTTAACACCAAAGGATAACACACAGAGACCTGGAAACAGACCTAGAGCTCCAGCTGCGGGCACGCCACCTCGCGTGGGGACCATATTAGGTCAAGTCTCCATACCTCCCACCCGGCCCCAGGGGACGTCAAGCGCATGGCCAAAGACATCGACCGCTGAAGCCTCTACGAAACCCATTCCAAACACCCACACACCGTGACTGAGAAACAACCAGTGGAATTACTCAAACCCATTGGGAAGTCTGGCGTGCCACCCACAACGAACCCAGGTCACAGGAGGACCAACTCGATCATTTTGTTCAACGTCGATGTATCGACAGACTCATTGTTGGTCGAGAGGGAACGGTTTGACAGCCGAATGTGGACCGACTACTGTCAGATGCTGGGACTCCCTCCCCTCCCTGCAACTTTGATCGCCTTTCTCGAGGAAGCCGTGCACCCCGAGATAAGCCACCCCCTTTACGTGTGTCCCTAAATACTGCCAAAGAGGCTGAAGACACACTCCTCTCTCGCGACAACCGGACGTTGTTAATGCCTGTAAAATTCGGGCCAGGCCTGACAAGCCATGGTCAATAAGAGAGGAGGAGAGAAAGTCAGCGGTTGGAAATCCCAACAGAAACAACACTATAGTTGTACATGGGATTCCAGAATTGCCAAGTGACCGCTCGGTCAAAGATCGGTACTTTCACGACGTCCAACAATGGCAATGGCTCTCAACCAAAGTTGGTCTCAACAGTATACCGGCCAACAGCGTCAGTAGACTGCCAAGGCCAGCGCACCTGAAGACCATACCCAATCCCAGACTACTCGCCGTCCAGTTCGACTCATATGCCTCCCTCACAGACGTTCTACACGCATGGTATAATGCGAAAGATCGCATGGGTGGCTCAATACGTATATGTGAAAGTAAGCCTAGACCCACAAGGCAAGAGGAGAGACGGCAACCACCAAGACCTCTGGAGTCAGTGGTCGTCACACAGGGCTGACCAGTGAGTTAGATACATCAAGTAAAGAAGCCACCACTGCAACCACCCCCACCCAAGTTAAAACAAAACACAAAAAACGGAACAATGCCAGTCCTATGAGGACTGGCGAGGCTAGACCCAACCACGTAAGCGCTCATCCTGCGAAAATACACATCCAGACCTCCCCTCTCACCAGGCACACTCTAATATGTATGTACAGCAACGTTAGGGGGCTAAGAGGGAAGGTAGCAGAAATGAGGACGCTGCGTGAACATCAGCACTCTGACATCATATTCATCACCGAATCCTGGCTCTCGCCAGACATCTCCGACGGAGAGATGCATGTTACTGGCATGGAACTCTTCCGCAGGGACAGGGAACATAGAGCAGGAGGGGGGTGGCTCTCTACGTAAACTCCTGTTTAAAGGCAAGGATGGTTAGCGATACGGCCTTAACCCAGCTCCCAGAGTCTCTATGGTGCTACTTCACTTTCCATTGCACCAAATACCTACTCGGAGCCATGTATCGGTCCCTCACCAGCTCCCTCACACATAAGGAAATGGTCATCAAGGCGATCTCAACGACTTTCTCCGCAGATTACGATTCCGTAGTCATTGCCGGCGACTTCAACACCCCGTCAATCCTCTTCTAGACGGAAGATAGACACATCAGATCCTTCAGCCAGAAGCTGAATAATGCGATTGAGACGGCTGGCCTCAGAGAAAGTGAGTGATGCCACACTCTGGGGACCTAACAGAAACGCATCGCGCCTTGACTACGTTCTGACGAACGATGACCTCATTCGGGATGTATGCGTCCAACCTCTACTTGGCCTCAGTGACCACACAGTAATAACCATCCCCATGATTGCTAGGGAGGCCCCGCAGCCGGAGACAGCCAACACCTTCCCTTGTTACAGCAAGCCAACTATGAGACCATGAGGGACTATCTCATGAACGGATCATGGCCGGTAGACTGGACTCATCTCACAACAGATGGACGCTGGTTGGAGGTGAGGAAAGTGATCACTGGGGCCATCATTCACAGTGTACCAGAAGTAACACGCAGACAATCAGTGAGAACCTCATGGTTAAAGCGTGGGACATAGAGGCTTATCCAGAGCAGGAAACAGGCCTGGTTCAAGTGGCGTACATCACGCAGGGAGTCTGACTTCCTGAACTACAGAAGGATTCGCAACTGCTGTGACATTAGAGTGCGTAGAGACGGATTTTCCTATCAAACAAACTTGGTGGCGAGGTTACAAAGCAACCCCAAAAACTTGCCACGCATCACGTCAAGAAGAAAGTGGGCCAGTAAGGGAGCGAATCTTGTCACGGCCCATGACGGGAGTATACTAGGCAGTCTAGAGATTGCCGAACTTTTGAGCTCACACTTCCAAGCCCAACTTAGCACTGACACAAGATCCACACCGACTCGCTACGACACCGACCAGGTCGTAAATAACGAATACCTCTGTCACATCTGAATTACAGAGAAAAAGGTGTTCGAAAAACTATCTAGGCTACGTCCAGGCAAGTCCCCTGGCTGCGATAACCTAAAACCAGTGGTTCTAAAAAAATTGCTCCAAGGTGCTTACTAAACCACTTCGCAACCTCTTTGAGCACTCATTAGTGTCGTACAGACTCCCTAAAGAATGGCAGAGGACCATCTTGTCACCCATCTTCAAGAGCGGAGACAGAAAAAGCCCTGGCAGCTACAGGCCGATTGCTCTACTCCCTATTGTGTTGAAAGTGTTGGAAAGCCTGGTAGCTGACACCATCTGGGAATTCCTCAATAGGGAAAACACTGTACATACTGCTCAGCACGGCTTTCGGAGTGGTCGCTCATGTGCCACCAACTTACTAACCGCCTGGGACGACTGGACACAAAGCTGGGATAACAGAAGTCGTGTAAACGTTGTATTTCTCGACCTAGCCAAAGCATTTGACAGTGTCCCACCCACAGTACTGCTTCACAAGATCATGTCAGCTGGTATAAGTGGACCCCTACTCTCTTGGTTCAAGGAGTACCTGGAAGGGAGGCAGTTCTGCACTAAAGAAAACAGAATAAGGTCGGAGTGGAGGCCCTCGACGTCAGGAGTATCCCAAGGAGCAATCCTAGGACCGCTTCTGTTCCTTCTGTTTGTCAACGATCTGCCAGATAAAATATCCTCACCCATCCTCCTCTTCGCTGACGACATAAAAATTTGGAGGGTGGTAAACGAAGAAGCTGATTGTACAGCACTACAAAGGACTTGCAGCAACTCGAGCTCTGGTCGTCGGAAAATGGCCTGAGCTTCAACCTGGAAAAGTGCAAAGTAATGCACATCAGTAAAAATGAAGCAAGTACGACCGACTTCCAGTACATGTTGAGCAACCGTGCTATCACCAGAGTGTCCATGGAGAAAGATTTGGGGCTCAACTTCTCCGACACCTTTGACACCAGCTCCAACTACAAAGGTATGACAGCCAGAGGGAACGTCATTCTACACTTTCTGCGTAGACAGCTTGCAGCCCTCACTCCCGAACTCTTCCTCACCATTTTCAAATCCTACGTGCGGCCGCATCTAGAGGTCTTCAATACGGTGGCTCCTCCAACACTCAAGAGAGACTCTAATCTCCTTGAAAGAATACAAAGAACTGCAACAAAATCAGTTGTGGGACTAAGGGGAAAGACATATCCTGAAAGACTTAAACACCTAAACCTATTTACCTTGGGTTATCGCAGGGAGAGGGGTGACCTTATTATGGCATACAAGATCGCCCATCAGGCAGACCATGCAAACAAATCAATTTTGCCTGCAACTCAACGATCTTCACGAGGAAACCCCATTAAGATAGCACACCAGAGAGCCAACACCACACTCAGGTCCAAATTTTTCTCCCTAAGAGTATGTGCTTTATGGAATGCCTTACCGCGACATATCGTTATAGCTCCCCCAGTCGACTCGTTCAAGAGACGATCAGACAGTTACGTCACCTCGCATGGACTACTACGGACGTACTCAGGTAGTTACCAACCTCAGTGCCCCCAACTCCCTCCTAACTACCACTCACTATCTCCCTCCTTAAAACACCCACATTACCTACTAATTCTTCCGTAGGAACCAAACCCACGCGAACATTAGCGCAATTCCCAAATACTTTTCTTTCCTTTTTATTTCTTTTTCACCCCTCCTTTTCTTCTCCTTCCCTTTTCTCTTCCCTCATTATTATTTTTTCTTTCTCTTTTTTCTTCTCTCTTCATTCTTTTACCACTACCCTACTGTTCTTTTCAGGTACCTACACAGACAGGAGTCACGGCAGTTCTCTAAACTTCCCAACAACCCGTAGCTCCCCAATCACTCTACAAATTACAACTTACCCACAAAACATCCACCTCACCGAAGCTAAAAGCAAGAAAGCAGAGGGGATTTCCTTGTCCACTGCAGGAGTGAACCGAACAACTCGAACCAAGCCCTAAGAACTAGACGCGAGAGATCAAAAACAACCAGTTTTCTAGGCTTGCACTATCATTATTGGACATTGGATATTGGATCCTCAAAACTCAGAAGCGAGAGTTCAGAAAGTACAAGTTTCCTTTAGTAGTACTACTGACGTTGAATGTTTGATATAGTAGAGTTCGATAATAGGACAGTCCACTTTCAAATACGTAAATTTTCCTGAAGATTGGACTCGCAGTTAATGACAGCGGGAAGGACATCGTATTATGGCGGGATAGATAAGACTCAGGCTTGTCTCAGAATCTTCAGAAGTAAGTTACAAATTGTTGTGTATATGATCATCCAATTCAGTGGCATAGTTCCTTGGTACCAAATGGAGGTTGATGCTGGTAGTATCGCCACATGTACACCTGAGATGTATGACATTGCTTCGACATTGGTAAATGTTGAAGAAGTCACAGACAATAAAGGCTTCAGTGACTTCAAAGTACCAACAGTGACTTCTGATGCCACCCAGACAGTTGCTGAGCAGCTTACGTCTCGCTCAGAATCTGAAACAACTTCAAAAAATCTGAACATAAGACTCCAAATCCTGTTTCAGTCTCTTCTGTGGCTGTCAACAGCAATGTTGGAAAGTATCGTTTGTTACGTACTATTGGTAAGGGGAATTTCGCCAAAGTAAAGCTTGCTATACACATGGCTACCGGAGTGGAAGTAAGCTGTGCATTTATGTGAAACATTTCTAGGTTGCTATTAAAATAATAAACAAAACTGTTATGGATAATACCCTCCTGAAACGCGTAAGTCATCACTTATTATGCATTTTTTCTGCTTAGCTTAAACGTGAAATCACCATCATGAAATTAACCAACCATCCGAACATTGGTAATTGTCTCTTTTTCTTGCATAACTTTCGTAGTAAAGCTGCTGGAAATAATTGAGAACGAAGATGTACTATGTCTTGTTATGGAATATGCTAGTGGAGGTAATGATATTAGTCATTAATTCTGTGTTAGGTGAGATATTTGATTATCTTGTTGCAAATGGGAAAATGCGTGAGAAGGAGGCACGAATAAAGTTCCGACAGTTACTGTCAGCTATGCAGTATTGTCATGCTAAACGAATTGTTCATCGGGACTTGAAAGCGGAGAACATATTGCTAGATCAAAATCTAAATGTAAAGGTTGCTGACTTTGGTCTGGCTAACACATTCGAATTTGATCAACGACTGACTACATTTTGTGGAAGTCCTCCATACGCCGCTCCAGAACTGTTTTTGGTGAGTATTAATAAGTTTTTTTTATTTCCCTTGACCATAACGTAAGATGTAATTTGCTGTTGTTCGTTGTAAAACAAGCTTACCGTTACAAAAGCTGATTCAATATAAAATTAAGATTGTTCATCCTTTGTTTAGTGGTTAGTCAATCTTTTCTGTTTTACCAACACCAGTTTCAGGTGTTTTAATCATTCACCTAGGTACAGAGACTCGACTTGGTGTGGATGTAAGCCGTTCACTTGCTGATACAAATGTATAAGTTCCAAGAACCTTTTTGATTTTTTACTAGTATGTGCATGCATTTAATGGTTCCAGACACCGATAAATTTACGTAAGATCAAATATATAATGAACATGAAAAGGATGTGACACTAGTCTTGGTAATATAATCAGATTGCCAAGGATTACCAAGGTAAATTTAATGAAACAACGCACAGTGGGGGCTTAGGTTTTTACAAATGCCTAACGCTTCGGCAAACTTCAGTATGCGCCCCTGATTATTCCTGTATAATATCTTGAAGGCTGTTTTCGTATTAACCCTGTGATTCATTCCAATGAAGATGTTTTGCTATGGATGACTATGGATGTCTATCACCTGCACTTATCAATGTTTGTGTGGTGAATCGCGTTTCAAGCCATTTGGGTGTGTTCACCCACCGTAGTCTGCATTGAATGATTACTCCTCCCTATATATGTGTACCCACACATACATGTAAATTGGTAAACAAGGTGGGATGTGACGTAATCATTTGTGCGAGGTTGTGGTTTGTGGCGAAGCAGGTGTTTTGTCGTCCCAACAATGATAAGCTGAGCTGCATAGTATGTTTTACTGATAACAGATTTTAATCTCTGCTTCAATATCATATGCTCTTGTGCCGGAGGGAAGATGGATCTGTCAGACGATCAATGTATAGAAAACCTACTTGGACAGGATAGTACTTGAATTTCTACAGTTTTGTCCGATGAAATATAAGAGAGGCTTAGTAAGGTGTGTGTTTAATAGAATCCAACGTATTTGTGCATCTGATACGATGGATGATGAGAATAAATTTCTGATAGACACTAATGGAAAACTGTTATCCAGTACAGTTTGTCAACCATTCTAAAAAACAGCTGACCCCGAAGCCTATAGTTTCCTCGGTCCCGAAGAAAAACATATTTCTTAAAGTACCATACAGAGGGGAAACGAGTAGTATGATATTGAAGCAGAGATTAAAATCTGTTATCAGTAAAACATACTATGCAGCTCAGCTTATCATTGTTGGGACGACAAAACACCTGCTTCGCCACAAACCACAACCTCGCACAAATGATTACGTCACATCCCACCTTGTTTACCAATTTACATGTATGTGTGGGTACACATATATAGGGAGGAGTAATCATTCAATGCAGACTACGGTGGGTGAACACACCCAAATGGCTTGAAACGCGATTCAACACACAAACATTGATAAGTGCAGGTGATAGACATCCATAGTCATCCATAGCAAAACATCTTCATTGGAATGAATCACAGGGTTAATACGAAAACAGCCTTCAAGATATTATACAGGAATAATCAGGGGCGCATACTGAAGTTTGCCGAAGCGTTAGGCATTTGTAAAAACCTAAGCCCCCACTGTGCGTTGTTTCATTAAATTTACCTTGGTAATCCTTGGCAATCTGATTATATTACCAAGACTAGTGTCATAACCTTTTCATATTCAATATGTGTTTGACCTTTAATTTTCATATGTAAATTGACTTGAGAGAAGTAAATGTGTGATCAGATTGTTCGAAATGTATTGCGCAATTAGATCACATTTTTCAGATAATCTTCGTCTTCTAATAGCGTTATCGAAATTTACTGAATGAACTAATTGTTTCAAATTTACGTAAGATCTTATTGTTTTACGAGTCGCTCGCAACATCCCATGTCAGACAGGAAAAATAATGTAAACCGTAATGTATGCATGCTTAGAAAGACGCAAGAAGTGGTATCGAGGTAGAAAAAAGTGTGCGAGAATTGATAGAACTGAGAAACATTCATCCTCCAAATCACTCACAGGGATGCGGATGTTCACTCTTTGACATCTTTAGAAGTTTGGACACCAATAACCTTCATGTGTTCTCTCATACAGTTGGGTCTACTTTATTATCACTTGTCTGTCCACTTGTTCTTTGCACAATACTCTGAATCGTAGAAACTTAAACTGATTCCCTTCTCCATGATGTCATACTTGATCTGTTGGTCTGCCTGTTGTGAATATTTTTCCAGCACAAAAGTTTTACAATATGGGCACCAAGAGATGCACCATACAAAATGATAAAGTATTGTCATGTAAGCATGAAACGAAAGAGAGGGAAACGAAAACAAAAGTGGATTCTTAGGGAAGCAGTCTCAAGGGTACATCAAAATAAGCACTCACTACTTTCGATTCACTTTCCACTAATAGAAGAGACGAGAAAACTGCAGAATGATTACTACTTGTTTTGATTCTGAGCTACGTGTGCTACCTTCTGAGCTGCATGAACTGTGGAATCCCATCGACGGAGTAGTTAGACACACAAATTGTGACCTAACAACTATTCTTCATCCTGTGGCACTACATGGCCTGGCGACCTCTCCACTTCCAGGTAGTTCGAGAAAAAGTGTACTGTGAGCGATGTGGAAGTTGCTGGAACGGAGTGCGTAACGCATGTCTGAGCTACTGGAGTCTATGCTTTATAGTGCCGATCGATCTTACGAGTTTTGCATAACCTGCAAAGTGATAACAAACCGAAATCTCGATAATTATCGCATAGATTATGTAGACCCTTCCTAAAGATGTGCAAATCAATGGCTTCATTCCAGAGTGATGAATCACTCCGTCTTCCATACCTACTCAAACAGTGTAGTCAGGCAACTGACTAAAGTCTCACCTCTATCTCTAAAAGGAGCCGAGCGTAGTTTGTTTTGACTTGAAGTTCCTTGCGGACCTGCACTTCGTTAGGTGGGTTGTTGTTAACTGAGTATGAAGCCCAATACACCTGGTTCTGTGTTAGTGGAGCAGCAGACTAACTGAACCGCTTTCCGAAATGCCCCATCCACTGTTTTGGGTGTCTATCAAAGTTGGTGGTTGACGTACCGTCTGCCTCGTGGACCGTTTCAATGATATTAGGCTTCCCGCTGCCGACAGCTTCAACGAGCTGGGACAGTTTCCAACTGTCACTGGGTGTAGGTGGTGCTTCCATTTCACCAAGCTTCGCGGTCGTTAGGCATATACTGTTTGATCTGTCGAGTAAGGAGCGTTATGAATTTCCAAATACCTCGTAGATATCCACTGTTTATCAGTGGGATGTTCTCCTGGACCACAAATAGTCTTACCGTTTCGATGGCATCTTGTAGATGCAGTCAGTGCGCATCTATAATTTCCTTATTTTAGACAGCTATCCTTGAATCTAGCTTGGTTTGGTGTTTAGTTGCAATGCTAGGCGCAGCCAGTTTGCCTACGTCGATTCGTTTCAGAAGACAGTTCTGATGACTGCCAAACGCAAAATGAAAAGATAAGATCAACATAGAATTTCACACAGAAGTTCATCAGTTAAAGTTACCACACTAAAGTATGATCAAAGTCAAGATGATTGCTGCAGGAAAAGTGGCAGTCCTAAATTCACCGACGCCATCGACGGCTAATTGCAATATGAGTTCAGGCTTAGGTAGAAGAGGGAGGATGCCAAGTAGTACATTGGAGGTGGCTGTGTCGAAAGTAGTAGCTAGCTTGAAACATGTTGTAATCTGTGTAAAGCTATAAAAGCCGTTCCCCATTATCTGGTCTGTAACCGACTAAACTCCCTTGGCCACCCGAAATACCCTCTTTGGGTCTAGACGCGAGAATTACGATATCTGTCCAGCGCACCTGGTATAAGTCACTTAGTTGGGGCTACAGCTCATCCTTACCTACTTCCGGATTGCAGTCAGCCAGACCATAGACAGAGCCGATGAAGAGTCATTGTTTCCCTTACATGTTACTCCTCACTTCGGTCCAACTCTCTAGCCTAGCAGCACAGACGACTATTAATAGGAACCCAGTCAACTGGGGCAGCTTTGGCTATGGCACTTAGCCCCGGTCGATACCTGCTACCTTGACGTGGTGGTCAGGCTTGTATATCACGATGACTCAACTAGCTACACTGACTGGAATTCTTGTTCCCTCAAAGTCCTATCATGCTAGAAAGGTTTGTTGGACAGTGATAACGTGAAAAGCAGTTCACGTTACACTAAGATGGGGGTCCGTAGACGAAGTCGTACTGCTGACTGGCTGGGGCGTGACAGCAGCAAGGTGTTTCCCTTACATGACCAGCAGTGCCACATTGTCTCTGCTTTCCCTATGAGAAGAGGGTTAGGAAAGGTCGGTCCCGAAAATAACACTCCTCCCTACCCGATGGTCATCTGTTGATAGCGATATGGGTTTTTCGGCGTTAGAACAATCACATCTCAGACCAAAAATCCTCAAAACGCTGTGACAGGCCTAAAGCAGATATCTCAAGGGCTCTACTGTCACATAGATCTTTTTCTTTTAGATACCTTAAGAAAAAATAGCCTTCCACGGTGTGAGCAGACGAGAAGTGTTAATCGCTTATATGCTTCCAGTAGGACTCAGGAAACAATCAAACATAACCTGTCCTCTTCAGCTCTCTCCTCCTTTGTCTTCACTTCCTGGCCTCTTACACATGCCTCAACCTCTCATTCTGTGACCACTGCCAACCATCAAAGCCATCGAAACCCCATTCCTAGTCTCCTAAGACCTCACCATTAATTTTACATTGGAGGTTTCAACGTTCGAACTTTATGCCAAACCAGACACCAAGCATCGCTTGCCATAACTCTGGGATCTGTAGTCATGGATGTGTGCTGTGTCTCTGAGAGACGTATACGGAACCCAACCCGAGTGTAGTTATTAGATTGACCTCACCTGACCAGTGCGGTGAGCCTCCGAAATTCACCTTATGAGTATCTGGAGACTCAATGGCTTAATCTCATGGGGTTGATGGTGCAGGTACAGCATCGAACTGTAGAGCGGAGAGTGCACTTCTCGATTGGATACCAACCAACAGCTGTCTATGTACTATTCGACTGAATGAATCTATAAGAATCAGGAAGGGTTGTGAAAGCAACCGGTGCCTTTTCGTTATTTCCGCCTACGAACCCACCCCCTGCAATTTAGGTGATGCGGTGAGTGAATTCTATGAGTTGTCAGTTTTACTACAGAAAACAAAACGTTCAGATATACCCAATGGTAGGTGACTTCAACGCTCATATAAGGAAGTTGAGCTAATCATAAAAGCATCTTGGAGGTATTTAAGGAATCCCATGCCAACAAACTGATAACGGTGATTGTCTGTTGCAATTTTGCTCCGACAACCACTTGTTTTTAGCCAGCACTAACTTAAAGCGTGAGGAGAGACACTGTCTCAGTTGGCGTCCACTGACGACAAATCAACGATGGTTACAGATAGATCATATTGCTATAAGTTATTGTTGGAGAGGATGTGTGGAGGATTGCCACTCTTTCTGGAGTATCTGTTTAGACTGTAATCGCTCTGTGGAACGGGCACATGTTTGTCTACGCCTTACTGGTCGCAGGAAACAGATGACAGTAAAGGCTGTCTGTGGTCGATTGGTAGATGAGGAGATGAAGCATGTATTTAGAGAGGAGTTAGCTAAGGATTTATCTGAACATGACAGAAATGCTGATGTTGAGGGAACCTGGTGTGGTATTAAGTCTAGTGTTAAAACGGCAGTAAAGACAGTTGGTAACCTATAACCGGTTGTCTGAGTGATACCATCCAGAGTCTGCACCCAACCGTTTTTTCGTTGTCACATGTACGCCTAACGTAAAGGCTACATTTCCGTACATGGCTCAGATCAACAAACAAACATCATGAACTGAAGCCATGTTCTAGTTTGTTCGTCCCAAGCCTTTTTCTAACCTAAACCTACTTCAGCTAATATTATGCGATGAAGCAGACGGTGTCTAGGCATGCGTAACACATGTCCTAGCCACCTCAGTCGATAAAGGTCGATAACTGACTTTCATCTCCTCCCTAAGACTCTACACCTGACTTCAGTAGTACTGATGTTAGGGGCTGCAAGATAGCCTATGCTAAGAAGACAACAAAGTTCGAATAGGTGGGGCGTTCTCACGTCCTCTACGTTTAATGGCCATGTTCCAGTCACACAGTAGAACAGAGTGAACTGCAGCGCAGTACATTCGGTCCGTAATAGGTAGTTGGATATCACAGCGTCGTCACAAGTGGCGGAAGCCAGTCGAACCTTTCGTATCGGTGCAGAGATTTCGTTGGCCACTGATCCACTAGGGCTGATCCAACCTTTCAGATAAGTGACGTGATCAAGGCGCTCAGTCACTTCAATTATTGTTAAACAAGGAACCACTAGAGACCAGTCCTGGAGAAACTATTTGCATTTAGACGACGAGGAACGTATCCTAAATATTCTCAAATTTCTACTCAAGATGTCCAGAAGACTGTATCTTGTCAGGGTCTTCACCTAACAGGGCTATTTCATTTGAGTACTCAAGATCTACCAAGGCTTCTCCTGTGATTAGATCAATCATTGTAAAGTCAGACGATGACAGAGACCTCCATAAGTACGTCCGTGATAAAGCTGAATAAGGATGGATGTAGTGGACTTCGTTGGCGGACATCACTTGACGTACGAAAGTCACCAGAGGCTGTAACACACTGACGGTGATCGAGTAAAAAGCGTTCAACAGAGTGGTGTATTTAACCGACATCCTTCCAGTGTGAAACACTGTCATGAAGCCTGTCAATCGATGGAGTTGAATGCCTGTTTCAGGTCGAGAAATGCAGTCAACATAGGGCCCTGGAACGTATTCTTGTGTTCTAAAACCTGACGGAGGGTGAATATCTGGTCGATCCATCCACAGGTATGCCGGAAACCTGCCTGGTTTTCTCGGGTCAGCTGTTCACTTTGAGAGTCACGGAACCTAGGTTCTTTTACAATATCTATCAAGCTGATTCTCCTGGGGTTATCACAGTAATATTTCTCTGTTTTCTTGACTGAGGCAATCTGTGATCGAGACTGGTCATAGGGGATCATATCTGATCCCTAGTTGGCGCTTCAGTTGGTCTGATCAATAATCTACGGTCACCGTCGTCAATTACCTCCAATACTAATCCATCTGGCTCTGCTACCTTTCTTCGTCACTTACAACCTTTTCAACTTTAGCAAGTATTATATAGCCTGTCTGCGCGTTCTGCTCAGGATCTGACTGGTTAGAGGTCAGGGAGATAATGGTTGGAGGCTAGTTGAACTTTTAGTCCATCTCCTGCCCGTCGTTCCAGTCATCTTTCCTACGGGTGAGTCGCAAACCCATCCTCCTCAGCTATGGTCTCATTAACCATTGACCTTTTCTCCCCAGTCCAAATAGCTGTCTACTGTTACCTATCACCGCCGCCTGCCCCGTCTTTTTAACCCTCTCTGTACACCGCCGTTCGCAGTCACTGCTCAGACTTCGTCTGAGTCTACATCTGATTCGCTTCTGCTCCTCTTTGAAATTTGAATTAGCAGAAGTGCGTTTACGTTCTTTCATTAATTTAGAGGCTGTTGATATCCACTGGCCCTTTCTTATCTCTTCCTAAGAATCATTCAGGTCTTTAATATTTTTACGACAAACTAGAGATGGTGTTAAATCTCTTTTTGATGAATGTTTTTCTGTTTCTATAACTGTGTAAACTGTTTCTCTCTAAAAGCGACCTTAGTATTCTCATCATCGAGCTACAGTCAGAATGGCCGTGTTACTGCAGTTTTTCAACGTCCATTTAGGCGCAGACACGCCGGCGCGGAAAACATCGCGTGATCGCTGTCCAAGCATGTGCTACAGAAAGGGGCAGCAGTCTTCCACCATCCCTCCAGTAATAATCAGTAACAATATGTTCTATCTGTGTCCACCAATGAGGTCGACAGAAACCAAGTCAGACATTGTTTAAATTTCATACTGGTCAGAAATAGATGGTTTCCTGAGCATATTTCTAGCAGGCGGTTACCGTTTCCTGCGCGTTCGGCCGGGATTCCTGAAGCGTCACCTAAGCGCCTTTCCATCTTACTTAACCTTGAAATAATCTGTTACGACGAAGACATATGAGCGTTCAACTTTCAGTAGGAGGCTAGACGATTTTCGGTAGAACTCATCTTTCCGTTCGTTCGAACTGCTTTCAGTAGGTGCTTATGTGGAGTTTACAAAAACACACCTGCATGACTGCAAGAACTAGCCAATGAAATCTTAGAGAATCGAATGGGGAGTTTTGCCGATTCACCATATCGGTGGGGTAAAGTTAAGTGATTAATAACACTTGGCTGATGTGTGCGTGATTCACAAACCCAGCGCATATCCAAAGCCCGAGTTGTTAGAGTTTCGGACGACTTAATGGATGTTGGGGACATAGGAAGTTGAAATGTGTCCTATGGATCATGGTTTCAGAAGACGAGGGATGTTGTTGCGTGAAGCCGAATCGTTATTGAAATCTGCGGAGCTGGAAGAAGTCAAAGATGATTTGGGAATATTGACCCCGAGATGTTGAAGGTTGATAATTATCTGAAGGAACTTTAGTGGTTAACTCTTTTCGTATGCTGACACCGTGGAAGGTTATTTCTGCTTGAGGTTTGCTATGAGTAGGGCTTCCTTGACAGAGGGTATGAACACAATCTATAGGAGAGGGTTCTAGGAGTATAATCAGGATCATTCCTTCCTTGGCCATGTTCAGAGTGTTTGGGTCTCTTTTGATGCAAATATCTGTGATGTGGATTATCCTAATGGTCATGTTTGTTTAGCTACCTTTGAATAATTTAGACGTATATAGGTGATAAATGAGTAGAAGTAATACTTTTTGACATTCTGTATCAGGGCTCATATACTCTTCGAAAAATAATTACTTTCAGCTTCATGTTGTGATACGTTCAACCTAAAGTAGATATTAAGTTGACATGTACATTCTACTGTTTTCATAGATTCTGCACTACCCTTGGTGTATTCACAAATACATGGGTGGGTTGGTTAATGCTTTGCTAGCAGCATTAACGAAGCAGTTTTAGATGATTATAGTGCATGAATGTAACTATGGCTACTGAAATTGTATCAGTAGATGTTAACTGATATCACCTAGGACTTCAATGCAACCGGTTCTTCAGTGTGGTATAGATTAGTATTCAGTGGATTTGGGTGGGTACTCTGTCTGTCTGACCTTCTGTAGTATTTTGATAAGTATGCTATTTGTTGGACGAAAAATATTCGAGGAGTGTTGGTGTGATGTATGTTTTTTTATCTGATCTAAAACTAAATAATAAAGTTACACCTTGCTAATATTGTAGGAAGGTTATTTAATTCAGTTATTAATGTCTAAATTTCTGAAAATGTTCAATTGTGGTTTACATTTTACGGATATCGTGTTTGAATAAGTCATATGTTTTTAATTTAACAGTCTTTCTGTCAATAAATTTAATCTTTTATTTATTTATTTATTCATTCTTCCTAATTTTGAAGGGTATTCCATATTATGGGCCTGGTGTGGATATTTGGTCACTTGGTGTTATTTTATTTACCTTGGTTTTGGGACATTTACCATTCGATGCACGTGATCTTCGTGAACTGAGAAACAAAATTTTAGGATTACATTACACTATACCTAGAGGTTCTGTTTCTCCTGAATGCGATGCACTTTTAAGGAAAATGCTGGTTCTTGACCCCAAAGATCGTTCATCTCTGAAAGTAGGCATTCATTTCTTGTTTTATACGTGTGTAATATTTAGTGTTTTGAAACGTGTGTTGACCTACTCTAATTTTGTCAAATTATTATGAGTTTTTGGCTTATTAGTTTTCAGTCATTGTTCCATGTGTGTTCACATTCTACTCCACCTTCAATCTGAGCTATATAGTGGTATCACAAGCTCTTACATTAAGTGGAGCTCGTTGCCTAGCACACTGACGTGTACTTATTAAGTATCTTTCATCATTATAAGTATTGGTTAATCGAAAAGAAAAACTTTTGTTGGCACAAGCTCATTATTTCTCTTTGCTGGAAACTGAGGTTATTGTTCAGCATTTGGATCGATCTAATCATCATATAATTAAATATTTATTGCAACACGACGTTGTGTAGACACAAGAAATGGAAGAGTGGAGACGAAAACGGCAGTGGGTTATTGTACAAACGGTCATTACCTTCGTTTTACTTTATAGACAATAGGGGGAAACTAGAAAACTACAGCAAGATTGCCACTGGTTTCGATTCTGGGCCATATGTGCTACTTTCTGAGCTGTATGATCTGTAGAACCCCATCAAGGGAGTCGTGAGGTACCTACAGGTAACCTAACAACTATTCTTCATCCTATGGCGCTACATACTCTGGTGACCTCTCTACTTCTTCCAGGCTGTCCGAGAGCGAGCGTACTGTGAGGAGTGTGGAAGTTGCTGGAACGGCGTGCTTAACACATGTATGAGCTAAGGAAGTCGATGTTTCAGGATGAAGATTTCCATCATGTCTGAACACGCCGCTCCACCTCACCTCAGAATTACATACATCTTGTTTCCACCTGATGTGAAGAATTCTACAGAAACATTGGTGGTGGAAAATACAGAATCGTCGAACATCGTCAGCTCGTATAGACCAGTTTTTGACAGGTGTAGAGAAGAAGTGCCTGAACCGATGTTTTGTATACCTGGACTTTTTACAGCAAGACTACCGTCACGACGGCGCCAGGCGTGGTCAAGGTTGGTGTATGCCACTCTGTCTTTTTATATACGTTTGAAGATCTCATCAGTCATACATCGATCAGCACTGATACATACATCCAGTTTAGTGGAATTTTCGAAAACCCATAGTGTTTTATCTCCAGGAGTGAGTCCAAAATATAACCTTCTGCTCATCTTGTAGAAGTACTTTGCACTTCGGTGGTGCAAAACACATACCATACCTGTGGACACTGATTGCTAACTGACTGAGTGCGTTTTAAATAGCCTGTATGCTGTCACACAATGAAACGATACCGTCCACATACTCGAAGTTGAAAAGCCCTCCAACTAGTAGTGGGTCTACACCGACACCACACACGTTCATGGCTGTCTGGAGAATGTCATCAGTAACAAAGTTAATACGAAATTGTGGAACTCTGCCTAGCCTCACTATTGGTTTGTAACAATGGAGATATTTGACTGTAAGCCTTGACTTTAGGTGTTGAAATATCCTTTCAAGATGTCAACACATTTCTCGAGGATGCTGTTCTTTAACAGACAATCCTGTCGAATTAATCAAAAGTGGCAGCCCCTGTATCTAGGAAATACAACAGTTGTTGGCCTGGAATGTGTGTGACGGTTTTCGAACATCTAGGGGGAGGTTGGCACGTGATCAATACATCCACAATCTGACCAACACTTGTCTCGTAAGGACCCAGTATTTATCAGTTAGACGTTTTACTCGCCGTTTCGATAGCGTCTTGTAAGAGCAGCCAAAGCTCATCTATACTTTTTGGAGGTTGGACAGCTACCCTTAAATCTAGCTTGGTTCGGTGTTTATTTGCATGCTAGGTGCAATTAGTTTGTCTATTTCGATACGTTTCAGGCTACAGTTTTGATGACCACCGAACAGAAGACAGACAGACGAAATCAACGTAGAACCTCGCACAGAAGTACATCGGTTCAGGTTACCACACTTCACAGTAGCATCAAAAGAAGTGGATAAGAAACAACTAGTATGAAAGTCTGCTGTGAAAATAGCGGTAGAGATAGTTGTTGAATTACATTCAAAAGGTAAGCAAACCCCAGTCGATATCTACTCCCTCACCCAAAGTGATTGATGCGAGAAGACCCATTCCTGACTACAGTATAGAGCAAAAGCAACTTAGTAGTGAGTTCATTAAACGTTTTGGCAAGCAGTGGCAGCTGGCGAAAGCGAGACAAATAGTAAAGACATTAGCGCCAAGCAGTACTTGACAATCTCTTAAGCTTATTGTCGACACTGGCGAAAAGAAAATGATGGTTATTGAGACCAACGATCTTTCAGGACGGGTAACTAAAATGTTGAGCAAAACAACGTAAAGAATAGTTCAGCGCTTCCGGCTGACTTGGAGTAAGCAGACGACATTATCCTGTTAGGCGACGACGCTGACTAAATCCTTAGTCTTCTGAATGCTTTGAGTGGAAGTCTGAGTACGTTTAGCATACATTTTACACTTGTCAAGTGTAAGATGATGCTTTAAGACTAGTTTACATCAACTTTTATTTTAGGGATAGGTGAATTGGTAAAATGCATTGACCACTTCACTTACTTGGTAAGTTGCATCAGCCTAAACGGATTGGTATTTAGTAAAATCTCAACTCAAATTCACAAGTCCGGTTTGGCGTTTTTCATCCCACTTCATCTCTGGCTCTGAGTGGGATGAGTATGCTAGGCAACAGTTCACCCTGTCCTATTTTTTGACCGTGAGACATTTCCTTTGAAAATAGAAGGTATAATGATGTTACAAGCTTTTCATCACTAGTGTTTTCTTAGCGTGGTCTACGGGTTCCAATTAAGTCATCTAATGTATGTCTACATTAGTTTTCGAATGTTTTCATACCTGTAAAATGTTTCATCTAAGAGTTTAGACTGTAATGAGCATTCATAAATTCTCGCCTATCCTACTTTGGTATGTGCAGCTGTGTGGGATCATCATCCAACTCATAGTTAGTATGAAAACTCAAGGTAGATCACAATTATCCACATGTATTCAGTCCTCATCATACAATTTGGAATATTCCTATTTGTTTTGTCAGGGATGCTAGATACCCTGGAATGAATGCTTGTTTCCTGTGTGTTCTATATAAATCAATAGGCTGTATCTGTATGGTCATACTGTACGGTTGAAGTTAATCTCTCTTCAATTCACTGTTGCCTTTTTTTAGTGAGTTGTAGGGAATCCTGTTTTCTTTGTTCACTGTAACCAAATGAAGCGTCTAGAATCTAGCATAACTGCGAATCATAACACTTTGTTAGTTTATTTTGTGTTGTTTTGAAGAGTGACAAATCATATCTATGTTTTGTGTTGGCCTAATCGTGCAATACACAATTCAGCCGTCTATTTATGTTATTTATCATTTACTCTGTCCACCCTTTAAAAAGTTTGGGATAACAAAGTAAGCGAAAGATTTTGACCACTTCAACGTGTGTGGGAATCTTTAGTATTGTTTTTTTTAGAGCTTTATATAAACATTTCACTTAGCAACCTTGAGCACATTTGTGCAATAAACAACGAATCACGCCAATTGTGTAACAGCTTATGATACTATCTGGCTGCTCAAACCTCAGCAGGTGGAGCGGTGTTGAAACCCGTGATTTGACTGAAATTCATCTCCCTCAACCAATGAACCACAGTTTCATATGTACACGTCAGGTATACCACCAACTTTCATTCTACTTTTTATGGCACTTACATGCATCAATTTATCATATTTATGATAAGCACATAAACACGTGCTATTTATAAATAGTAAAACTTGTAAAACATATTTAAAAACAATTCTTTTCAAGTCTTTAATGCAAGACAAATGGGTTAATATGGGTTATGCTCCCGGTGATCATCTTCGTCCGTACAAAGAACCACCAAAATCCCAATTAGATGACAGTCGTGTTAAAGCTATGGAAGAAATGGGCTTCACACGAGCAGATCTAGAGTCGTCAGTTGTCAATCCTCAGTTTGATCATGTGTATGCAACCTACCATTTATTGCCTGAAACGCCTTCTCAGCTTCTTGAGTAAGTGTTCAGAAAAGTTATTTTATACGCTGAAGATGGTGTTTTTAAAACAAAGATTGTTTTTATTTTATTAACTGTTATATAAATTGATGAAATCATGTTTGCTATGAGCAAAAATACTGCACATACTCCAGATAGTCACAGTATAATACTGAATTGATGACATTTTTACTTGTCGTCTTAGACACCTTTCCCCCAGTAATCTTGAACAGCTAAACCTTGGTCCCATCAGGTTGTGATGACCTCCCGTGTAACGTAGATTTTGTTCCTGCAACTCTCCTTGTAGTTGAGAAAGCTGTAACAAACCTGAAACGATTCAAAGCAGCACGACCTGACAATCTGCCACCTAAAGTTTTCAAGAATAGATATAGGTAGATTGATGAAGGTACTGCGTAGTGTACGAGAATCATAAGTAGTATCGTCAGAATAATATACTTCACTGATCATCCCAGTCTATAATAAAGGAGAGAAGTCTTTTTGCGACATTCATGGTGGAAATAGTTTGACTAATATGTTTTTCAAGATCCTACGACTCGTAGTTATCTGACACCTAACTGTAACTGGAGAACAGCCAAGTGGAGAGAACCAGGCAGTTTTGAGATCTGGATGACGGTGCGTCGATCATATTTTCGAATTCCGACAAGTTGTCGAACACGAGCATACTACAGGCAGGCGGTCGACACTTACCATATTTCTTGACCTGAAGGTGGTGGTCAACTCTGTTGACCTTATGGCGTTGTAAGATTGTCTGACTGAGAATCCAGTACCGAAGGAGCATATATTGATTATCAAGGCTGTTTACTCAAACTGACGCAACCATGTGAGGGCTTTAGGAGAGTTGTCATGTGAATCGACGACACGTAGTGGTATCCAGAGTAGGGATGCTCACTATCACTTCCTATTTAACTATTAAACACAACCTTAGTTATCTCTAACTTCACAGGAATTCATCTACTCCCTAGAGGATAGTTATCCTATTGACTTAGAGTGTGAAGACGATATTGTTCTGTTAGACGGAGATGTTGACAAAATGCAGTGTCTTGTGAACGCGTTGAGTGGAAATCTGAGTTTGTTTGGTATGCGTTTCGTTGGCACCTGTCGAATGTAAGATGATACTCCAGGACTGGTGTGCTGCAAGTACTCTCAGTTTAATGATCGAGAGGGAGTGTGAAGTGGTCGAATGTGTCGACCACTTGACTTACTTGAGAAGTTGCATCAATCCGAACGAACTGGATCCTGACGAAATTTCAGTTGGGATATTGAAGACCCGTTTGGCATTTGGCACCTTGTGTTATCAGTGGCTCCAGGTGGCGAGATATGCGACAACTTATACTACGCTGAAGTATATTCTGTCTTGTTATACCTCTGTGAGAGACGTAGCGGTTAAAAGTAGGAAACATGAATCGGTTGCAGTTTTCAATCATAAATGTTTTCGTAGCATTGCTCGCGTTTGGTGGAATCACACTGTATGATCAGTGTTGAGGTCAGTTTAGACAGACGATTCGATTGATGATGAGGTTATGAAGTTTCATCAGCTGCATCGACGTGCCGTGCTGTGGCAAGTTGGATTACCTTGGAAGAGGGTTCAGGGTTACGAGACGATGACGCGGCATCAGTCGATGAAGTATCTGGCCGTTGGTCTGAGTTGTGTGGGGAGATATAGACTATCTGGCTGGGGTCGGCGAGATGATAGGAATGAGTAGTTTACAAGTATTGGTGACATGGCTGGAAATCGGTGACAGTGATGCAAATTTATTCACTTGGACATTTTCTAGAGCCTTAATGTATGCGTTAACCTTTATTTTCAAATTGTTTATTCCTTGATGTAACTTTTTCAAGCTTGATATCATTCTTTTTCTATTCATCTGTTTTTTTGAATACTATTTTGTAGTATGGCAACTTGAACTGACGGACTTGTGTGCAAGCTGCTATGTTGATTTTGTCAGTCAGTATCAGCAGCTGACAGAAACTAGAGGTTTGTGCTATAGTCACCAGCAGTAATGGGTGCATAAAGCCATAGTAATCGTCATGTATTCACCGTAATAACTGAAATAGACTGTAAGTATTATATCCTTATCATCACTTGATATCACCAAATGGTATATATATATATATAGATATATATATATATAGGCCCTGAGTATTTCTAGACATTTCCGGAATCCCACATCCTATTGTTTTTCTTCTCTTCGACCAGTGTGTTTGTTATTCACACTTTGGTTCACGTGCTTTTTCTTTTAACTTCGAATCAAAACGATTGGCTCTAGAAGTTGTCAAGGATTTTGGATTTCTTTAGAAGATCTCGGTAATTCCACTATCTACTGTAACACATCCCCCTTGAAAAAGAGATGGATAGTGTAGTGGTATCTTTTCATTGACTGATAAACTTTTACTAGATCGTGAAAAACTATTCTTAAATATTCTTCTGTTTAGTCGTTGTTGTAACGCAATTTGAAGTGTCTGAATTGGATCCATAGAAGCTGGCAGTGAGAGGATCAGTTCGCCGACACTTCGAGAAGTATTCGATAAGCCTTCTCCTTTCGGCTTCAGAAAGAGACTGATAAGTACTTGCGAAAACATCTCCCATAGCTTTAGATATGTGTTGTACGGCACAGATTTTACAAAAATGTTCAAACCTGTGACCCGTTGGTCGAAAGTCATTTCCTTAAAACAACAAGTCACAGCTCCACTGGGTTTCATTTGCCTTCGTAGGAATAGGCGAATTACTTGTGTATATGAAGTTTTTATATTCTATCGCATGGCAAAATCTCGAGGTAGGCGACTCATTTCCAAACCTTTTCAATAAGCTTAACTTATCATAATTGCATTTTTGTATTCCACAGTAACCGCTTACTATATTTTAGACTTTGCAAAGAAATAACTCATGGATCAGGCGGTACACCAAACAATTTAGTATTGCCTAACTCAATTGTCAACAAACAAGAGGCGAAATCAGTTCATGACCAGTCTGCAAGTACCACAGAGTCATACACCTCAGTAAAACCCACTGCAATTGGACGTTTCACAGTAGCACCAAGTAGCAAACACAATGAACATACCAGTCAGACAACTGCTTCTCGCTACCCTCGTGGCAGTCTAACGACTGAATCAAACCACGGGACTGGAAACCAGAGAAATGTTTATGCTGCTGATTCTGGAAATCGAGAACATCATTCATTGACATCTACCTTACCAGTAGCTCTAAGAAGAGCATTCATGCAAATGGGTCGTACGTTGGCTGGTAGTGGAGCTCCATCTACAAGTAATGAAGATGGCACTGTTCGTACGAATGCTCAGGCTGCCATAGGTATTTTCATTTCCTATTTTCAAATGTTAATTCTTATATCTGTGTATGGATGGTTTTGCCGATTGTTCTGATCTTAACTTTAGTTTGCATAACGAACAAAGGGAAATGACCAGTGTCGATCCCAACAATTATTATTCCCCCAGTTACCTCGTGCAAGTTGATCTTATAGCCACTAACGTCGTACCAGCTGGATTGGAGAGGAGACGAAAGTAGATGGCTAGGCCACATAATTGTCTGCATTTATCAAATATATGAAAAGTGTTCAAGGTCTTAAAACGTAGGGCTAACAATAGAGAGTAAAGTGGTTGAGTGTGTTGACCACTTCACTTACCTGGGAAGTAGGATCAACCCGGTGGGTTAGTTGCCGATGAGATTGCTGCACGGATACAAAAGGCCCGATTGGCTTTTTCCAACTTGCGCCACCTATGGCGCCGCCGTGATATTCGCTTGTCTATTTTAAGGGTCGCGTGTACTGCACAGCAGTCCGCTCTGTTCTACTGTATGGCTGTGAAACATGGCCATTGAAAGTGGAAGATATAAAAAAGCTTCAGGTGTTTGACCACCGTTGCCTTCGTAGTATAGGACGTATTCCGTGGTGTCACCATGTGAGTAATGCAGAAGTCAGGTGTAGAGTTTTGGGGAGAGGAGGTAAGTCAGTCGACGAGGTTGTGAACCTTCATCGACTGAGATGGTTGGGACACTTACTACGTATGCCTGCCTAGTCACCGATTGCCTTGTCACACAATGTTGGCTGAGGTGGGTCCAGGCTGAAAAAAGGCTCGAGGTGGCCAGACTAAAACATGGCACTAATGTATGAAGTCTCTGACTGTTGGTTTAAGCCATGTAGGACGATGCAGACTAGGTGGTTGGGGTCAGTGGGTGGACAAGAGGAACCAGTGGTTGGAGACCCTAGGTGATATGGCTCAGAACCGAAGTCAGTGGCGCAGATGTATACACACATTATCGTCATCTTAACGACGCTATACCGAATCTCACCAATTTCTCGTTCTTCGTTTCTCTCTTTCAGTACTTTATATTTCTTTTGACTGCATTCACTTATCTTCATCCTTCACCTCACTACCTTTTTACTTGATGAACTGACGTGAGGTGTGGCAACTCGGACCATTACGCAGTAATGCCTGGTCCTATGTTGGTGATGATGATCTTAAAACGTAGACGGTTTAATCAGAATGTCAAATAATTAGGACGAAGGTAGAAACATGAAGGATATTCATAGTTAGTTCTGGCTCTCATTCTTTCTCACTACGAATATACAGCAGTAATACGGTATATAATGAGATTACAATTCATCTTTTAGAAGATAGTAACCACATTTCTGATAAGTTTAGAAGACTTATTTTTTAAAGTACTTCGTTGTAGGAGACAGATATCTATGTCAAAATAAGTATGGATGACAACACAACAGACTTAAACACTGGATGATACAGTGAATGCTTTCTGTAACATTTTCTCGTTCGCTTATCCATCTGAAGAAACAAAGATCCAGAAAGAACTCGAAGTACTAAAGCTATATAAGAACCCACCTTCTACTCATTTTAATGTCGGAGATGACACTGTAGTTAGGACTGAAAAGGTATGGCACATTTGATATGTTTGATCTCTTTGGAACGAGGTCATTGCGTAAAAGCAATGTATGTGGCATATTTGAAGATCGTCAAGGGATTAGTCTTACCAGTCACATCTTGAAACATTAACTCTTGTCATATTTCTCAGATTATATGGAATGTATGACAATTTATGTGAAAAAGTTGGGTTTCTTTCTTGTCATGGATACATGGACTACGTGCCCACACCGGACTAAGTTTTCGAACATCATTGTTGTTTATTAACATTGCAATGACCTTTAATTTGTTAGATCAGGCTGTACTATGGAATAGCTTGCTAACAAAGGTTGTCACTGTGGAGTTTATTCACACTTTGAAAGGCCTATTGTGCAAAATACCTCATCAGGAATGGGGGTATATTGTTATGGTCAGAGAAGGTTGGTCGATTTCTTCATTCCTCTTCAACTTTGTCATGGATGATAAATGAATGAGGTTCTTGGTCTTGGTGGTTAGTCTACTACCACATAAATGATTGCTCCCATTTTATTGTGACTGAAAAATTGACATGAACTTGCGTTCCCATCCGCCCTACGTGGTAAACCGTTGAGAGCAATTGAGAACTTGAAGTATCCGGGCGGTGGGTTGTACGACCGCTAGTAGATGTATGCGGATTGGATTTTCAATCACCTATAGATGGATAGAGCTGCCCGCACCAAGCGCAGTCACCTTTGGTACTGTTACTATGTTACCTTAAATTTGCAATACGTTTATGCAGGTAGTACTGCTCTACACATGTGAAACCTGCCACTTCCAAGGTAACGTTGTCAATTTCATGTTTGATCATTGTTACCTCCATGGATTTGCTAACATCCATTGGTGATACCATGTAGGCATTTCTGAAGTCCCTCAGTTTATATTAAGGTGTGAGTGAGGTCGTCATTCTATATTTATTATTATTTGTCCCTTGGGTTCCTAATGGAACGTAGGGCTTCAGTAGCACCTCTTCAGTGCGCTCTGTTCTCTGAAATCTTTTGGACCTGGCTCCACGACAGCCCAGAAGCTCTCATTTCCTCCTCGCACTATCTCCTCCATGTCACCCTCGCCTTGGATGACCAACTCGTCGCTTTCCATCTGGGCTCCACTCGAGGGCCTGGCCTAGTGCGTGATGCCCCCAGTCGGCCTTCTCAGTGTTTGCCCAATCCATCTCCACTTCCTTCTGCATGTTTGTTGAGCGATCGGTTCTTGCTTCGTTGGTTCGTTACCCGGCTAGAGTCCCTTGTTCCTTATTCTTTCTGGCTATCTGATCTCCAGTAACGAGCCAGTGTAGGTAGATGTTGATGAATGTCTGTAGTTTGTTGGGAATGGCTTTCATAACGCGCCAAGTTTCTGAACCATATAGGAGCATTGACTTGACGTTGATGTCATTTTGTAAGTGATATATTATCTTGAAACATTGGCTTCAATAGCTAGTATATAGCATAATCATACCATTCCAAGAAATTTGACACTGTTCAACGAAATGAGTCTCACCAACCATCTACGGACTTTTGCGTCTAGACCTTTAGCTACACTCATTGTTTAAAAGTCGGTCATACTACATTGTTATTCAGACATTTGTAGGTGTTGGGGGGTTTACACAAATTACTCAATGATTGTAAATTCATAGCTTAAGCTAATAAGCTATAGCTGGATACCTTCTGCTGACTCTGGGATTGGGAAAAAAGCGAAGAGGTAGTCAGGTTCTGTTATAATGCTATGTTCGGTAAGCACTTGTCAGTATTTGCTTGATTTTAAACTTACACTGAATACGAATATGGGATTCCTACCGTTGGGTCACGGGGTTCGAACCCTTCACCACCCACTCAGGCCTGGATAACTAGATAGTATCAGTTCACCCTCTCATAGTATGGCACATCGACTAGTATGTGAACCTGTACATACTTGCTGAAATATTTTTGATAGGGAGAATTTTAAATAACAGAATATCAATTATTGTTATTGGGCTAGTGGATAACGCTTTGTCGATTGAAACGATGAGTACAAAGTTCGAGTCTCAGTGGTGAACACGAACAATCACTTGGGTGCATTACATTCGTCGAACAAGTGAGTCGTAAATAGGATGAAACACGTATCCTAGATTCCACTACTATCCACCAATTTGACTACAACACGCCTTGTCTCATTTAATTACTATGGTGTCAACTTATTTTTCATAGGAAATGATGGTGTACTCATGCAGTGTGTATTGCACTATTAAACATGAATGAGTAAATTCTACAACACTATGTGTGTGTGTGTATGTGTGTATACCAGAAACAAGTTTTTCATGGTTTCACCTTTTATTCTTGTTTTACTGTCCCCCTCATATTATATTATAAAGTAGTTTTCTTTTAGCTCGTCACAACAAATCTGGATCAAAATCAGCTGCGAGTGGAAGGTAGGTTAATTTATAATGGGTAAATACAATAGGGATGTGAAGCGTTTTTTTTTTATTTTTTGTTGATTTCATGTAGAGTAAATGCTTAGTGATAAAAATTAGCATCATGTTGTTCTACGCAACGCAAGTCCTTATTTAGAAGTAGTATTCATCATGAAATGACATCAGTTGGGGAACCATTGAAAATCTAGGGGCACTGGACAGCTGTTTCGTCCTAGTATGGGACTCCTGAGCAGTACGCACCCTTTGACCCGGCTAGGGAATTATGTTGTGAATTGACTACTGGAAACCGGCCCAGTGACTGAATGGTTAGTGCGTTCGCCGTGAAACCTGAAGGTTCTGAGTTCGATCCGTAGCCGGGTTGTGGGTGCGTACTGCTGAGGAGTTCCATACTAGTTGGACGAAACAGCTGTCCAGTGCTCCTAGGTTTTCTTTGTTCCTCCAACTGATGTCAGTCTACAATGAATAACAACTTGAAATATTTCCAAATCCCCACAACTTCCTCAAAATTTAATTTTTATGTGTTGTTGAACCTAGTGGTGCGACAGCTCATTTCTTTGGGCAGTTTGACTTTCAGTCAGTGGGTTGCGGGTTCATATTTTGCCTCCATCTTCTGAAGTTTTAACAACCATGTAGTATCGTTAGCACTCTCATTCAATAGGATTTAGCACATTGTCTAGTTTAGACACACAAATAGATATAAATAGAGTAAAATCTCGTACACGAGTGCATCAGTTCAAGTTGTCACAATTCATAGTAGCATATAAAGAACAGATGAATAGAAAAGAATAATGTCAAAATGGGAAAGAGTTGTCTCAGAGAATAAACAATTCAAAGATGAAGGTTAGTGCAAATATTCAAGCTTTAGAAGACGTCAAGGGGATGAATATATCTGCACCAATGTTTGCAGTTTCCAGCCATGTCACCAATACTTGTAAACTACTCATTCCTATCCTCTCGCCGACCCCAGCCAGATAGTCTATATCTCCCCACACAACTCAGACCAACGGCCAGATACTTCATCGACTGATGCCGCGTCATCGTCTCGTAACCCTGAACCCTCTTCCAAGGTAATCCAACTTGCCACAGCACGGCACGTCGATGCAGCTGATGAAAGTTCATAACCTCATCATCAATCGAATCGTCTGTCTAAACTGACCTCAACACTGATCATACAGTGTGATTCCACCAAACGCGAGCAATGCTACGAAAACATTTATGATTGAAAACTGCAACCGATTCATGTTTCCTACTTTTAACCGCTACGTCTCTCACAGAGGTATCACAGGACAGGATATACTTCAGCGTAGTATAAGTTGTCGCATATCTCGCCACCTGGCACCACTGATAACAAAGGGGGCCAAATGTCAAACGGGTCTTCTATATCCCAACTGAAATTTCGTCAGGATCCAGTTCGTTCGGATTGATGCAACTTCTCAAGTAAGTCAAGTGGTCGACACATTCGACCACTTCACACTCCCTCCCGAACATTAAACTGAGAGTACTTGCAGCACACCAGTCCTGGAGTATCATCTTACATTTGACAGGTGCCAACGAAACGCATACCAAACAAACTCAGATTTCCACTCAACGCGTTCACAAGACACTGCATTTTGTCAACATCTCCGTCTAACAGAACAATATCGTCTTCACACTCTAAGTCAATAGGATAACTATCCTCTAGGGAGTAGATGAATTCTTGTGAAGTTAGAGATAACTAAGGTTGTGTTTAATAGTTAAATAGGAAGTGATAGTGAGCATCCCTACTCTGGATACCACTACGTGTCGTCAATTCACATGACAACTCTCCTAAAGCCCTCACATGGTTGCGTCAGTTTGAGTAAACAGCCTTGATAATCAATATATGCTTCTTCGGTACTGGATTCACAGTCAGACAATCTTACAACGCCACAAGGTCAACAGAGTTGACCACCACCACCTTCAGGTCAAGAAATATGGTAAGTGTCGACCGCCTGCCTGTAGTATGCTTGTGTTCGACAACTTGTCGGAATTCGAAAATATGATCGATGCACCGTCATCCAGATCTCAAAACTGCCTGGTTCTCTCCACTTGGCTGTTCTCCAGCTACAGTTAGGTGTTGGATAACTATGAATCTTAGGATCTTGGAAAACATATTGGTCAAACTATTTCCACCATGAATGTCGCAAAAAGACCTCTCTTGTTTATTATAGACTGGGATGATCAGTGAAGTATATTAGTCTGACGACACTACTTCTGATTCTCGTACACTGCGCAGTACCTTCGTCACTCTAAATAGCAATTTCCTAAGTCCTATGTTTAAGAAAATGTTTGCTTGTAAGTTTTATAATGCACGTGGGAAATAGTACGTCTTGTGTTTATGGATAACCTTTATAAAGCGAAAAGTGTGCGATTTTACACTATTATCATTCTTTCTCATGTAAAATTCGATACTACGATGAGGTATCCCACTAACATGTTGTTGTGTGCGAATACAGGAGACTTATGTCCATTGCACATCTGGTCGCTCTTGTACTCTAGTTATCCGAGTGAATGAAGCTTTGACTTTTGCTACTATCGGTAGTTAGCTGGAGTCTACTCAAGGACCAACACCCACTGAGGTTGTAGTACATCAGTTGACAAGTGTGCGCCAAATAAGATGAAAAACGCTTCCTGGATTTTACCGCTAGTCACCAAGATGAATATATTATAATGAATGCCTGGCAGTATCGAGGCCTCTGCATACGAGCCTGTCTACCAATAACGGTGAACTATAAGTATCAAACAATTTTAAAATCCACCTTGCCTACTGTTTTAACGAACAGTGATAACAGATTAAATGAGTCTTATTTAGTGTTACGAAGTGGACTTGTGAGACTGAAGAATAATAATTTAACTATTGACAACCGAGAGTTGAAACATCTTATACATTTTGTGCACTGGGATGTAGTTTATCTTCGTTGGTTTAACTGCTGGCGTTGAATAGTAGGCCCGTTCAAAGTGTAACCACTTACCTCGACTTTTGTTAGCCATTTCATGTGTTTCTTATTGCTCCCTCCTTCTTTTCGTATAGAATTTTAGTGTCATCTTGTTATGTAATTTTTAGAAGTGTTATCACCGCAGCACCTGTCCCTATCGGAGCCGTTAAGAAACATGGATTCGGTGTACCTTCGCAACAACTACAAAAGCGCTTGCCAGGAAATCAGCACACCACATCTCATCCTAATTCAGGTCACAATGATAGCGTAGACAGTAGTCCTCTGAATCCTTCAACAGCATCTCGGCATTTACCTTCACGGCTACATAATGATTTTCAGGATCATCTCTCTTTGAAGCCTGATATACACACTACCCGCAGTCATTCATCTAATACCTCCACTCCATCATCAGGAAATTGCAGAGCGACCAGTGCATCACTGTCACACAAAACAAATAGAGTACCTTCAGAATCTGTGAAACCTAGCTCAGACACAGTTTACAATACATCTGTTAATAGTACCAGTCGGGAAAACGACAAACGTGGTGTGTCTGATACTAACACAGTTGGACCTAGTAGTTCAAGCAGTACTTCTTCTGATTCTTACGGTGAAAGTGAACTTCGAGAAACAGCTGCAACACTTGTTCAAGGTGTTTGGAAATCAATTGATCCTTCTTCCTCTCAGCAACACTCTCCTCGTCAGAATGCATCACAATTAAAATGTAAACCACAAAATAATGGTCATCCTGTCCCAAAGACATCAGAAAAAACTAATTGCTATGCACAGTTAGAACAAATTGGTCTTCGAAATGAAAAGTCAGAGATAAGTCGCAGTCTAACTACAATAGATCAAACGAATCAAACAGTTAATGTCACATGGTCAAATGATACAGGCAAATCTATAAATGTTCCATCGCCTAATCCACAAATTAAAACATCACATACAGTTCAAGGTACAGAAGCCCTTGCATTACGTCAGGAAGCTTTACATTTACAGTCTACACATTCATCAGGTGTAAAAGCATCTTCTGATCCTCGAGCATCTGTAAACTTGTAAGTGTCTTGTATCTTTAATATTATTAATCTTGTTTGTGAGTTAAGTTAACTGCGAAATAAATCATAGGAATTAACATTCGGCTAAAAATATTTGGTTGTTTATTTCCTTGGTTAGTTGCTTCTTTATGAAATACCTGATTAATTTAGTTGGTACTGTTTAATTTATCAATTCGACTATCTGAGATAACCTCTTGTTTCGGTAGACTTGTATTGTTTGAATGAATGTGAAATGGGGTGATCTGAACCGTGATAAGATTTTAACCAATCACTTTTGGGGGTTACCGACTCGATGTTCTCACTAACTAAGCTTTAGATACCTTTTTTTTTGTTTTGAGATTTTAATATTTTATATAATGAATATATTTCACTTATGTATGCTAAAGTATGTGAACAGTTTTTCAAGTAAACTGGAATCTAAACAATCTTTACTCTGTTTACACTGAAAAATAAATTGCCAAGAAACCTACACCTTTAACTGAATTGATATTTTCGGTGTGAATGTACAAAATCAAAGGAATTTAGTCCAATATAATTGAGTTTTTTTTTTTTCCTTTCTCGTAATGATTCAATTACAAATGGAATTTTATTTATTAATTAGAAAACATCTCTCTATATTTATTTTCTGTATGATCATTCAATAACAACGATATCTATATGAGTAAATGAGCTTTTCTGAAGAATTCTTGAAAGATAAGGATCAAATTACATTCATAATATGATTCTTCTGAGCTGTTTACTTGAAGATAAGAATATGAAAATACATCAATTGATGTCTTGATGTCTGTTAATAGAACAAAGAGAGATCACAATGCTACGATATACCTTGTATAAGGCATCAAATATAGGAATGAATGAAGTCTATCATAAACTGGCAGTTAAAAAACAATGAAAAATGATACAGGTTAAATTTTACTTATAACCTAGATTTGATTAAGTATAATTGTTTTTATATCATACCGTCGTTGATTGGACTGAATTGATCAGTTTCTGTTGGTATATGGGATCCTATACGGATGCCTCGATATTACCGGTGCTCTAATGGTGGTAATGATGGATCGTGGCTAGCAGTGGGATCGAGAACGTGCATTTCATCCTATTTGGGACTCGTCAGCTGGATGTACTTGCTTCCCAGTGAGTGATGTTGTTCCCACCGGGAGCGATAGCTTCGAATGCCAGAGCGTTATGCACTACACCACCGAGCCACGATGGCCGCTTCTTGTGCGACAGGTATAGTTTTTTAGTGTGATTGCTTGTATGACACCGTCGTTGATTGGACCGAATTGATCAGTCTCTGTTAGCATATGAGCTCCTGTACGGATGCCTTGATATTGCCTGTTTTAATTATGTATAGTAATGATGGGCAGTGGCCAGCAGTGGAGTCCAGGATGCGCATTTCATCCTATTTGGGACTCGTCAGCTGGATGTACTTGCTTCCCAGTGAGTGGTGTTATTCCCACCGGGAGCGATCGCTACCAACCCCCAGGGTGTTATCCACTCACTGGGAAGCAACTATATCCAGCTGACGAGTCCCAAATAGGACGAAATGGGCATCCTGGATTCCACTGCTAGCCACGACCCATCATTACTAGATTTGATTTCGCTAGTATATGCACAGATGTTATTTTGTTTTGAATATGGACTAAGTAGAATTGGTATTTTCTTATGGTACGTTTCTGTAATCTCCTAATCAACCAGATTTCATATCTCCTGGAATAAAATAGAGATTGTAAAGAAATTATGATGTTTATAAAATTCAGTGACAGAAAACTTCCTAAGGATGACCAGTCAGGTTCCAGATTGTGTTTGCCAAGTTCAAGGTCATTCGTTCGCCGTTGTCAGCTATGTGTTTTTGACACTGTATAAGCTGCTGATAAATTTTGACTGAAACTACATTGCCTGTTAATTGTAGATAATCGTATCGCTTGCGAGAAGTCTAGATTGTGAATGTGGTGTGATGTAATGACTAGTGTACCTAACAATGAGAGGAGAGTCGGCTTCATCATCCGTTTTCCCCGCGTTGTCACAATAAAATGTTTTTGAGAAGTTGATCATTTTCGAAAGGATTTCACCTAACTCTTCGACAAATACTAATTTGTTATGATAACTTTAATATCAACAGGAGCACTGACATTTTATTGAAGTCTCCTCTGTGCAGCGATGGTAATAGTAATATGCAGACAATGTGAAGTCCTGAGGGGTAAGTAGTGTAAATAATTAACGTCTTTTTCGGAAATGTTCATGCAACTGAGGAAGGCGAGTTAAACTGGACTAAGTAACTTATATACATACGTCTTTACCTATCACAGGTTCCTGGTATATTTATCGCAAAAATACAAAGGAAGGACACTTTCATATACTCGATTATGATTGGTCAACGCATACTCTAACGCGATTGGCTGTCGTTAAAGTTTTTATTGAATCTAAGAATCTTTCAACTTTATGCGCTTATTACATAGCATAGCATTTATATTTCTTTGTTATTTTTCATTTTATGAAGTGTCTGTAAGATTGATTTTAGTTTAATGAAAGAAAATTGTAACTTGGAAAATACTGTAGTGTAAAACGCCTTTATTAAGTTTTGCAATCTGTTTTTTTCCTCATATATTAGATTTATTCTATATATTCTTTACTTTTCATTTATTTTCATTTAGTACTGTGGATTCCAGTCACCAGAGTTCTTGGGGTCGGGGTGTTCTGAAGGCATTAGGTGGATTTTTTGTACAGAAGTATGTTCTGTTTTAAAATTTCACACTTTCTGTGCATTAATTTTTTTTTTTTGGCATACAGATAAAATGAATTAATTCATCGCAAAGCATATTTCTGTTTCATGTTATTGACGAAACTCTGACTTGGTCATAGTATGGAATGTTTAGTTGTTTCCGTTCAAAACAAAAGTAGTTAAATGCCTAGCTGCTCACAACCAGATTATCCCTTTGGCTATATGATGGTGCATTATCGTTACCAATGCAGTTTCTCATTCATAGTCATCAAGAAGTAGTAATCAGAAAGAGTCAACCATCTGAAAAAATCTTTCCACCCTCCAAATCGTTACCTTCTGATGTTTCTCTACGTCTATATGCAGATAATCTCCCGTCATCTTTAGTTCCTTTGAACTCTGAACATGTGTTATGTCTGTGAGTCATGTATATACTACCCAAGTGCGGTTATTTACTTAACGTCATCAGGTCAATATAGCAAATCGGCGAAATTCATTCTTCTGATATCTGAAGATTTGAAGGCTAGTTTTCGTGAACTTGAAGGTGTAGGTTTAGTGTGGATTCTTGAAGTAGAAGGTGCAATGCTTAACTGGATAACAGTTGACGGTCGTCTGTGCACTGTTCGAAGAAACGGTGCTGTTGGAACTAAGAAGGAAAGCGGAACTCACCACTTTCTCTATGTAATCTCTGCCTATGCACTCACTGACTACAGTTCGCATGAAATGAGGCATAGGCCTTGCGGAAGACAAGACTTAAGTGTGACTTTTGGAATCCCACTCAAGCGAACAGCTAACGGTGGTCACCTACTGCACCTGTTCTCAAAGAATCATCTATTTTTGACCAACGCGAACTTCAGACGTAGTGGGAGACGTTATCGGACGTAGTTCCCACCAGCCGCAACTCAACAGTGGACACAGACAGAATATACTGGTATCAGTGATCGCTGAAGAGGAACGATGGAAGATTATTTGCTTTTCTAGAGCAATTTTGTTGACAGGATTAACACGTTTGTCTGTACCTAAATGGACGTCGAGAAAACTACAGCAACAAAATAATTTCCGATCGCTGCTCGATGTTGAGAATTTTAAGGTTGCTTCCAGCTAGGACTGGCTAACCAATTATCGGAAGAGAATAATGTCAGTGATCCGAGGAACGCCGGATGCCATATTTAGTCTGCTGTAAAAACAGCATTACAGACCGCAAGTGACTCTCAGAAAGATGAGAAATGGTCAGCGAATCTCTTTAGCTTCTTGATGCACGCGAATGCATCTCTGCAGGTTCCGAGCACAATGAAGAGTGAAAGCAACTCAAAAGTACACGGAAAAGTAGTTTAAGCGATCTTCGTGATCCTTGGTATTACGGTAATGGATCGTAGCTAGCAGTGGAATCTAGGTCGCATGTTTCGTCCTACTTGTAACTCATTTGCTATATATACCTGCCTTTTAGTCACTGGCGTTGTTCCTATTAAGACTCGAACCCACAAACCATTGTTTCCAACGTCAGAGCGTTATTCACTCAGTCTGGGTGATGATAAAGGCAGTGATTGAGAATTATTGGTCAGATTTATTGTAGTAGGAGTTGGCATATGCACATCACATGTGATGACCCACCATAGATCTTCGTAATTGATTTCCATAGTCATCAAGATTCCGAGTGATGCTCGAGAACAGCGAACCTGGAAAAAACCATACGAATTTTAGAACTGTTCATGTTTATATCGACTAAATTTTCACCCTACACCAGATATTTCTACCCATAGACATCTCAGCCTCCAGACAGCATTCGACTCCGTCGAACAACAGGTCATGTGGCAGCACCTCGTTCAAGAGAATGGTAGATAATTGCATCGCTGTACTCATGTCATAGATCTGTATTGGAACACGTTTGAGCGTGTTAAAGCGTGTGATGAAGTATCAGGTAAGTTTTTTAAATCATGTAGTGTTCCTCAAAGATGTGTAATCCCTTCACTATTGTCGAGTTTCTCACAGATATGCTTTTGTAGGTGTTCGCCTACTTATCTGACCTTGTGAAGAATAACTTTGTCACAAGAAATCCCTTCTTGCGCAGATGACATAGTGCTGTTAGTTTAAGAGGCTGATGCCATACTGGACACCTTGAGTAACAATTTGAGAATATTTTGGGGATGCGTTTCTCACCACTCTTATTTAAACTGCTGTTCCAGTACTGGCTACTGTTAGTGTTTTGTCTAACAATAGGGAGTGATGCAGTTGACCGTGTTACCCACTTCACTTACCTATTAGTGGTCTGGTCCTTGTAGGGAAATATAGACTTTCCGTTTAATTTTCTCATGACAAGCGAAATCCCTAGCTGAACACACATCTAGAGGTATTGATGATAATTGATGAAGTCCCTGACTGTTGGCCTCAGCCGTATGAGGAGATTTAGAATATCTGGTGGAGGTCACCGGGAACTATAGGAATCAGTGATTGATGACTTTTGGTGGCATGGCTTAAAATCCGTCACAATAGCGAAGATTTATTCACCTCTTTAACGTCTTCTCGGACTTGAATATTCACACCAGCCTTTATCTTCAAACCGTATATTCTCTCATACAACTTTATCGACTTTGACATCACACTTTTTCTATCCCTCTGTGCTTTGAGCGGATGCGCCCGTGTTCGAGGTTCTAAGCTGATTTCGTCTGTCTATCTGAATCGATCATAGTGGTGAAGACGCTTCCACACTATCTTCATCTTGCATAATTTGTCGATTGTTTTATGTCTGACCTTTTTTCATTTTGTGAGAAGTTGAATCGTTTTGCAATTCTACGGTATTAGTTTCGTCTGACCGAAATTTGTATACTTCAGGTACTACTGAGTGTAGCAAGATTATAATAGTTCTAATTTCTAAACCTTCTTTGTATTGAGGAAAGATGTTTGTTGGTATTCATCATGGACTGACATTAGTTGAAGGAATATTGGAAACCTGGAAGCTCTGGACAGCTTTTTTGTCCTAGTATGGGACTTCTCAGAGGTGCACACCCACGATCCCGCTAGGGATCGAACCCATGACCTTCAGGTTCCGTGGCTAGCACGTTGCCGTTGAGCCACTGGGTCGGAACTCAGTGGTTCATGTTTCCAACTTCTGTCAGTTCACAACATAGCGCTACCTTCACCCAATATCATCGTTGAATATTTGTCCTTACAGCCACTAGGTTTGCTTCACTGTTCACGACTTCTCATTGGCACTTCGGAAATCACCCCTCGAAGCTAGTCACCAATGAGCATTAGTTCAATTGATTTAAAGATTTTTCAAGTTGGTATTCATCATGGATTGATAATAATTTTTTCATTCCAGGTCAAACTGGATAAATGTAAATACTGTCTTTCTATATAATGTTATGACTATTATTAAGGCCATACTCCTTTTTATTATAGCTTCTTTTTCTGCTAGTTGCATAATTTATTTAAAATGATATTCGCTGAGTTGCATATAGATGTAGGACCATTTGATTCTGGCGTGAAATGTCTGTGAATATGGGTTCTTCAACAGACAGGCAGAAAAAATCAACGTAGAACCTCGCACGCAGGTGCATTGACTCAAGTTACTGTACTTCACGGTAGCATACAAAGAACAAGCAGATAGAAGAGAAGTGATATCAAAATAAACAAAGATGTTTGAGAGAATAAACAGTTTGAAGATGAAGGTTAGTGCAAATATTCAAGCTTTGGAAGACGTCAAACGGGTGAATACAACTGTACCACTGGCCTGTTTTCAGCCATCTCACCTAGAGTCCTCAACCACTGATTCCTATTGTCTTGTGGACCTCAGCCAGATGGTCTATATCTCACACGACTTAGATCAGCAGTCAGAGACCTTATTGACTGGTGTCACGTCTTGGTCCTGACCACTTTGAACCTTCTTCCAATGTGAAACAACTCCTAGCATGGCGTCTCAAAGTGGGTGATGACTCAGTAAGCACAACACATATCCAAGCCAGCCATCTCAGTCGGTAAAAGTTCACGTATTAAAGAGCAAGGCATAAAATTGCTTATATCCATCCATCCATATGACTGGTTTTCAGCTACCGTACCAGCGCTCAGTAATTATGGAGGACTAGTACCATACTTTAATCATCCCTAAAAACTTTCCCTTGAATAGGTTGTTCACCTACTCATGAGGTTTATTTTTTCAGTAACTATATCTGAACTGATTACTCAGATCCTTTCAACTCTCTTCTTCGCAAAGTGATTTTTTCTCACTGTTATACCCAATTATGTAGCACATCTTCATAGTTTTAGTTTCCCTAACTTGAACCTGTATACCTTGGTGTCTGCCTCTACTCTCATTGACATTAGACATTTTCAGTATTTATAAATGGTGATCAATAGACCTTTCTTTTAATCGCTTTACCATACTGGATCATATCACTGATTCACTTTCAGTTGATCAAAATACACCTCAAAAGGATATGTGTATCTGTTAAAAGTTATAGCCAAGTGTAGGTTTAGGCAGTGAGGTAAGCATAGGCAACAAATGTCTTTGATGTGGATCAGACGTTATTTCAACTTCAGAGGATGAAATCTTCTGTAGACCGTAGTTCAGAACCATAATTGTTATCTTGTCATTTTCAGCAACACTATATATGTTATATCGATCCAAATCCGCATCTTCCCATTAAGTTCTTGTTCCGTCATCACAATTCCTCGGTATTTTTATCAATTTTAATACTCCTGTGTTGTGAAGAATGGGAGTTTTCGGTTTTATCCCTAGTAATTATGTTATTGTATTTGTTCGTCCTCTAATATGTCATACAAAAAGGGTTTATTGTTTGCATAATTATATCTTTGTTTGAGGATCTCATCAGTTATGTGAGTTTTCAGTGAGTTTTACACTAGATCGTATGTTTATTTGGATAGTTTATGGTTTCATAGGAGACGTCAATTTCTGGTGTTAGTCCATATTTCTTAATATACTCTAGGATATTAATCTTTCAATTGGTGGTTTCAAAGAAAGTTGTACTCAACAAATCACTAAGTAGTAGAGAC